TCCCTTGAGATAAAAAAATAGAGATTTTGAGATATGTGTATAACCGTTTGATGTGTTTATGTTTGTTTTTGAAACTATGCGGTGACATATTTGTAATTATATTGGTAACTTATTAAACTAACGCCGTTAATTTACGATTGTGGGGCTATTGTTGTAATTTTACAAAGATTGATATGAATTTTGCAGGCTACGATACTGTAACCGCCTATTGTTTTCTTTTCTTTCTCGATCAAAGTCTCACTTCGAACTCTCAGGAAACCCTCTTTTTCTTTCTTTATCGTATTTTGCCCTAGTTTTCGTTTCTTACCTGTTATTGAGAAATCAGTAAATGTCTTCAGAAGAAAATATAAACGAAGTCACATCTTCGTTAATCGAAATGAAAGGTTAGAATGCGAGTTATTTTTCATTTTATTGATAATGCATGTTTTTATTAATTAGTTAACTGTCGTTTTATGTTGATAATGGTGTTTTTTTGTTTTGATTCAGTAGGTTTTTCGTCATTTTAACTTGATTTTGATGATTGTCTCGTTTAGAGTTGATATGTTTTTTTATTATGTTTGTTTGTGGTGGTTTTTTATGTAAGTTTTTGTTTATATTTTCACAGATAAGGATTTCAAAAGAAACTATGTTCGAAAAAAATTCAAAAATCAAAAAAATATCGAATGCGGTAGAAGTGTTGTTATTTCCGAAGGTACAGTTCAAAAAAAATCATCTATGATTAGAAGTAGAAATAAACATATAACTTAATGTTTGAAGTTATTTGTTGTAATCATAACTGATTTTTTGATTTTTTGATTTTTCCAGTGTATTGAACATAACATTTAGTTATATGTTTATTTCTACTTCTAATCATAGATGATTTTATACGTTTGTTTATAATCATTGGTAAATAGTAATGATAAATGTATTTTTATGTATCAAACATGAATATAAAGTTATTTTTGTAATCATAACTGATTTTGTGGTTCTTTTAAGTGGATTGTATATAACATTTAGTTGTATTTTTATTTATTGTTCTAATCATAAATGATTTTATACGTCTGTTTATAATCATTAGTGAATAGTAATGATAAATGTATGTTTTATTTTTTACTAACACTATGTTTGTAATGAAAATTGTAGTTAAAAAAGGGAATGTAGATAGCTCAAGGAAGACAACGTCATCTTCCAAAAGAGAAAAGGCGAATGAGGTGTCGCAAACACGTTCAAAGACATCCAAAAAACAGTTATTGAACAACCAAAAGTGAAGCTGAGGGTTAAGGTCAAAACTGTAAGTAAGAAACGTGAACTATCTGATGAAGATGATTCAGATTTTCAGAGTCGTCCTGGATCTTCAAAGAAACCAAAGAGAGAAACTAAAGTTTTGAAGAAAGATAAAAAGCTGTTGTTATAAAAGAATTTCCTTCATTGAAGAATAGATGTTCACCCGGGTCATTGTTGGGTGTTATTCAAGGTTTAAGTAGAGAACAGAAGGATTGTGTTAGGGCTATGGGATTTGGGAGTTTGTTAGGGATGAAGATGATTGACGTACCGTTGAAGATTGTTTATTATGTTCTTGATCATTTTAATTTGAATCTTTGAAGGTGGAGTTTGATAATTGTGAAGTTAGTGTTGATAGTAAGTCTGTTCAAGATGTTAGGATTACCATCTGGTGGCTCATTACTTTCAAACATGGATTACATTTCGGAGAATAATGAAGAGAGCTGTATGTTTGAGTGGAAGAAACAGTATGAAAATATTGATAAATTGAGATTGAAACAGCTAAAGAATGAACTTGTTCAAACTAGTGCTGCGGATGACAACTTCAGAATCAATTTTTTGGTTCTTTTTATTAATACTTTCTGTGAGTCTACAAGCATGGGTAAATGTAATCTGAATCCATTGTATTTAATCAGAAGAGATACTGATTTAAGTAGCATTGACTGGTGCGATTACATTGTGGATTGTTTGGTAAGGACGAAGAAGGTTTACAATCCAGAGAAAGAATCTTCTTTCTTTTATGGACCAGCAGCATACCTTATGGTACGTGAGTTATTTTTTTATATTTATTATTCTTTTTAGTTGTAAAAATATGTTTGTTTTTATAATAAATCATATATGATTTTATTACATATAATCATATATGATTATGTAGTATAATTTTTGTTTAATTATATATTACACATCAAAATCATATATGATGTTATATATGTTATGATGTTATATATGTTTTTTTGTAGTTGTTGTATGTGGATACTTTCAAGTTTGATCATTTGCAAGTCACACGTAAACGTCCAACTATTTTTTATTGGACGTCAGAGAAGATAAGGTTTCTTGAGGATATTTTACAAGAGAGTGGAGGATTTGGATGTGGACATGTTAATGAAGCATATGTTGAAGAAGAATTTCAAGAATCTGAGTATAATGAGGAGGAATCTGGTGGTGATGAGGTTGAATCTGATGGTGAAGAGGATTTATGTGATGAGGATGAAGAAGATTTTGATGTTAATAAAGTTAGTGATGTGGAGGTAATTCTATAGTTTTATTCATTTATGATTTAATTAGTTTATTCATTTATGACTTTTTATGTTTAAGTATTTTAGTTGTAAGTATCTTTTTTCTTATGTAGGTGTATGAAAGTAAAATTTCATGTATGTATCAGAAGATGGAGGATTTGAAAAAGGATCTTGTTGTAAAGATAGATGAGGGAGTGTTGAAGTTTCCTCAAAGTCAAAATTTGAAAAATTGGAAATTATTATTTCCTGTTGAAGATTTAAGCACAAAAGTTTTGATTTATTATGTTTCACAAAAATATAAAGAACCGATATTAACACCTGGTTTTGTTCAAGTTAATGATGAAGATTATGGGAATGATTTTCTTAATGATGATGAAAATGTTGAAGATTATGATCAAGGGAAATGTTCTGGTGGTCAGGGGGATGGAAGTGGTCCACATGAGGGCAATATTGGTAAAAATCATGTTGAAGGTAAAGGTGATGATGATGAGGATGATGAACAAGGAAATGGAAGTGGATGTAATAAAGAAGAGGCCATGAATTTAAATTTGTGTCGAAAATGTTACTAAGAGTGTGGGTCTAATTGATAGCCAGGAAGGTGTATCTTTTAGTCAATTTATTTGCGATCCAGTTGTTGAAAGTTTTCTTAAACTTTGGATCAAGGTAGGCATATTTTATTATTATATATAGTTTAATCATATATGATTTTAATTTTTTATATTTGAATTTTATAGGTACTGATGGTTGGGTTTTATGGTGCTGATTGTTATGTTATTATGTTTGTTTAATCAGAATAAGATGATGTTAATTTGAATGTAGTATTGATCTGTCTGATATTATATTTATTGTACATAAATTATATATATTTATATTGATTCATTTATGATTTTAATAATTTAGGGACTGTAAATTTGGGTGAATGATCATAAAATAAGATGGAGGTAATTTGTTTATAATTATTGTTTATTCATATATAATTGTGTTTATATTATTGTTTATTCATATATGATTTTTATAATTTTATTGGGTAGAAAATGTTGAAGATTGTTCAAATAAAACAAGGATTCAAATGAGACTCGATCATTGAAAAATGATATTGTTCCAAGTTTTAGTCTTGGATTAGTCAAGATTCTGAAGGTTCCAAGAAGTCATCTCAAAGTCAATTTCTTCTGAACGGATGACAAAGAAAAAGATTAAGGATAGAGTTATTTTGGGAAAACCAAGTGCTGGTCCAGAGTGTGTTATTCCAAATGTTGATGTTATTGATGCTAGTCCAGTTTCTTTTGCACCCCCTTTGGGTACATTAGAAGGACCATCAAAACCTGTTTCTGGCAAACCTAAAGATATAAATGAAGAAGCAACATCAGTAGTGGATGTCAAAGGAAAGAGACAAATGAAGTTTTCTTATGTTTATAAGTCACCATTAAGGAAATGTTAATTGATTTTAAACCTAGTTTGACACAAGTAGAAAATGTTGTTTGTGAATGGCTTTTCAATCTTCAAGGAAATCCAGGGTAATTTTTTTAATATAATTTTTTATTTTTATAATTATAATTTTTTATTTTAAATAACATTAATTAAATATATACAGGGATATTGTATTGCTTATGGAAACAGATGTTATTGGTTTTAGAGCTAATTATGAAAGTCTTTTTAAAAAAATCCATTTGCATGTTAGTGTTCTTGATTCATGGTCTCGTATACTAAATCATCAAGAGAAATTCAGAGATGTTGTTAATTCTCCACTCAGATTGTTCATGAATTCTGACACTGTAAGTTTTTATTTTATTCTTTGCTTTTCATATGTTGATAATCATTAATAATTTTTTATTAAATATTTACATGTTATTATATAATCATTTATGATTTTCTTATATTACAGACTTTGTCATTTGAATATACTCATTTGAATGAAACTGCAAAATATAAAGTTTTCAAGGACAGCTTCTCTCGCAGTGTTTCTGGTGATAGAGACTTGAAGGTTTTGAAGGATGTTGATATGGTATATTTATTTTTTTTATAGATTTATATATATATTTATTAATATTTTATTTATAATATTATACATGTTGATGTTAGGTATTTTTTCCCGTTTTGAGGCATAAGCACATATATCTTATTGTTATGAATCTGAAGAAACGTGCTTTTGAGGTTATCGATAATGGTGCAGATGATGCTGATTTCGATGATAAGTATGGTGCAGTTTTTAAACCTCTTGTAAGTTTCAAATGATATTTATTCTTTAGATTTGAAATCATATATGATATGTTTTATAATTATTATACTTATATTTTTCTGACTTGAAATCATATATGATTTTCAGAAAAAATCTTTTTTGAAGTATCTAAAAGAGATCGATCATGTTAAAGCAAATGAAATGGCTGATAAAAATCTTACTCCAGTAAGATTGACAATGCCATGGAGGACAGTTTATAACAAAGTGGATTGTGGAGTTTTTGCTATGAGACATATGGAGAGTTATTTTGGAGAAAAATGTTCTAAATGGAAATGTGGTCTTCCAAAAGAAGGTGGTTCTCAAGAAAAAATTCTGGAAAAGTTGAGAATGAAATATGCAGCAGCAATTTTAACTTCTGAGATTAATACAAAGCGTGATGATGTGTTGAAAGCTGCATATGAGTATCAAAAAGTTGATCAAAAGATTCGTGGTAAGCATTCATATGATGCTCAATGGAATATAGAAAGAAGGCTGTCAAAATTTTTTTGATTGAATATTTTCTTATTGATGATGTTATAAGAACAAGTTTGTTTATGTTGTGTATGTTATGGATATTGTGAAGAATGTTTGTTTTTATGATGATGGAAAACATGGTGATGGAAAACAAGTTAATATGTATTTTGGTGGATTTTATTATGTAAGTTTGTTTGTGTGAATTATGTTATTGAATGTTAATCATAAGTGATTATGTTATATTTTTATATGTAATTTATGTTTTTAGTATTGATTATATGTTGCTTATATGTAATCATTAGTGATTGTATCAGTTATTTTTTTATGTTTTTGTAATCATAAATGATTATATTTGTTGTACAACACATTATAATTTATTATATATTTTTCTTGATAAGTGAGCTTATCTTTACTGCATGGAATACATCACCATGCAGAATCTTATCTTTGTAAGATTTTAGTTTTGTTTTTTAGTGTTTGTATTGAAGAATCTTTTCTTTATAAATGAAAACTGATTGTACAACCATATATTGTATTTTTGATAAGTGATTATGTTTGTATAAAGGGGGTAGCCTCGTGCTACCCCTTATATTTCTTCAAAGATGAGTCCTTACACCATTATTTATTTATGATCTAAACAACTTCCATTTTGTTTCAGGTAAAATATGGAGTCTATAAGTCTAAAAGAACTAATTTTGCTGTATCTAATAACATGTTCTCCATTTTTTCAAGATTCTTGTTCTTTTATTTGTAGCTAGATTTTCATACAGATTGTAGCTGACTCCAAGAACGCCTCTTCCACCATTACTTAAAAAGTTTATCTTCATTGAACATATCAGATCTTTACTAGATGTCTTTGAAGTAGAGGAATGTTGTTCATTTAAATAATATTTCTTTTTAATGAACAACATTTGTCTACATAAGATATGTAGTAAAGATTTGTTATGTTCAATGGAGATAATCTTTCTAAGTAATGGTGGAAGAGTTCTTGGAGTCAGCTACAATCTGTATGAAAATCTAGCTAGGAATATGAAGAACAAGAATCTTGGAAAATGGGGAACGTGATATTTGAGACTTGTGAAATTGTTTGTTATTGAAGATTTTATCATGTTTGATGTTATTCTATGATGATGAATATTGTTATCTTTAGATTTTTTATGAGCAGTGTTGTATATTTGTTAGGAACGATGTTGTTGTATATGGTTATATGTAATGGTTAGATGTTTTTTATGTGTAATCATATTTTTAATCACTTATGATTAAACAAAACATATGAAGTAGTATTACATAATATTTTATGATTATACAGATGAATATTGTATATGGTTATGTGTAATGATTACATGTATTGAATAACAGTTTATATGTAATCTTAAATGCTTGTAGTAACATTTAATAAAAGTTTAATCATGAATGAATATATTATCAAATCAAAGAAAGAATTATCAAAGTAGATTAAATCCAGTAGACAAAATCATAGTAAATTCTGTTTTATAAAAAGAGTAAAGTCTACTAAAGTATATTATTTTGAAAAAAAAAATTCATGACTTATTCATTACTGATTAAAGCAGTAAATATCTATGTAGCTTTTGATGATTGTTCTGCTGCAAGTTTGATTGGGCATGTCCGCAAGTTATGAGGAGCCCTTTCTCCACATCCTGAGCATCTTCTTGTTTGCTTGTTTGAATTTTTATACGCTATTTCTGTTGCACTTTGAATTCTACTTTTCTTTCCGCATCCTTTATTGCTTTGAACATTTGGAACATTGATGTCAATGTCTTTTGGAATAGATATGCCCATAAGCTTTCCTACCTCTTCAACATCTGTCCTATTCTTCTGCAATTCATTTGTAGGATCGTTTTCATATTCCTTCAGCATGCTTTCTGTTTTCTTAACAAACAAATCCATTTTTTCTTTATTTTTTCTTACGTATTCCAAACATGCTTCAAAGTTGTAGTATGCTTGATTGACAGATCTGTTAATTTCACTGTCTCCTGTATCATATACATGTCTACCAAAATTATAATGCCTTGATCACATCCTTTCTCCAACGATTCTCAATGTACTGTTCAGGTATCTCCTTAATTCCATGTTTCATGAGTATGTTGAATGCATGTCTGCACAAAGTCCCAAAGCGGTTGAAGTGTTCACAAGTACATTTTACATCATTTGTTGGAAGTTTTATTTCTACCTGTTCAAAATAAAATTAAAGCATTAAGTGTTTTATAATCATAACTGAATATTTTTTTTATATTATGTGCTGATTCAACAAAATTTAAAATAAGAATATATTACCTCAAATTCTGTTTTTAGATCACTGTTTTTGTTCAGTTGTTCCACTTTGTATAACTCCCATCCATTTTTTGTTCCAAGATGTTCGTATTGGCAGTACCAGGAACCTTTATAGATTTCTTTCTGTACTTCATAAAACAATGTACTTGTATAAACTTTTGCAGCATGTTTTTCTATTGGTCGTGGTGAAATAAATTTATATACCGCCTTCTTTGTTTGATGATCAAGCTCCTGTTGTGTATTTCTTTGTTTTTGAATTGTTGTGTCATAGTTCATCATGAAATGTAAAAGTAAATTTCCAGATTGAGAGTAAGTGTTGAAGAAGGAATTCATGCTTTCTGATCTTGAAGTGGTTTTCATCAATCCAGACATTCTTGTGTCACTGAAGTATGCAGGTATCCATTTGTCACGTAATTCAAACATATCATTGAACCATCTTTTATCTTCCAGATTGAATTCATTAATAATCAAATCCCACTTCTTTTCAAATTCATCAGGTTTGATATGCATGTTCCAAACAAGCTTGTTAAATCTTTTCTTGAAGTCTTTGTTTTTAAATAAATCGCCAGTAACCTATGAATGAACAACTTTGCTTATATAAGTATAAATTATATACCTATTTGGATATATCATATATGATTAATCATATATGATTACTGTAATGTAAGATATATCATGTATGATTAATCATATATCATTTATGTATTGTAATCATATATGATTATATATGATTAATCATATATGATTATATAATCATATATGATTAATCATATATAATCATATATGATTAATCATATATGATTAATCATATATGATTACTGTAATGTAGGATATATCATGTATGATTAATCATATATGATTAATCATATATCATATATGTATTGTAATCATATATGATTATATATGATTAATCATATATGATTATATAATCATATATGATTAATCATATATCATATATGTATGATTAATCATATATCATATATGTACTGTAATGTAGGATTGATCATATATGATTATATAATCGTATTATATAATCATATATGATTATATACTGTATCATCATAATCATAGTATGATATATGATAACTTATATTATTATAATCACATACGATTAATCATATATAATCATATATGATTATATAATCATATTAATAACATACTTGATTATATATCATTATATCAATCATATATGATTAAGTATTTTAATAATATGATTATATAATAATATATGATTATATACTGTATTATCATATTACATACTATGTAATCATATATGTTTATGCAGTAAGTATGGTATATGATAATTCATATTATTAGAATAGTTAATCATATATGATTAATCATATATGGTTATATAGTATGATATCTGATAAGTCATATATGAATCATCTGTCATAATACTATATAATCATATATGATTATATAATGTATTTTTATTATACCTTTGCTTGCAGTTTTTTCATTATGTGCCACATGCATAGTGTGTGTCTTGAATTTGGTAAGACAGATTCCACTGCTTGTTTTATTGCTGCATCTTGATCAGTTAGAACATTTTTTGGTGCTTTCCCTTCATGAGCTCTAAGAAAGGCTTTAAGCAACCATTCATACGACTCAATTGTCTCTCTACTCAGCAACCCAGCACCAACAGTAACTGATTTCTTGTGGTGGTCAACTGCTGTGAATGGAACAAATACCATTTTATACCTATATAAAGAAAATGTGTTTAGTACAATCATATTTGATTAATAGTATGTTTGAATTTATATACATTAACTTACTTGTTTGTTCTAAAAGTTGCATCAAAAGATATAACTTCTCCAAACTCTGCATAAAAAGCATTTTCTCTTTCATCTGCCCAAAACATAGCAGCCAACAAATCGCCATCACGTAGGAACTCAAATGAATAATTTGGGTAATAATCTCTACGATCATTCATTTTGTTTATCATTATTTGAGCATCATTGTAACATAAGATTCTATTTACTCCTCTCTCAAGTTTTTGTAGTCTGTTACCTTCGCCCCTACATATTCATATCCTCCTTTCAAAACTGCTCGTATTTTGTGAGCCATTGTGGGACCAATTTTAGCTTTTGATGCACGTACTACAAACTCTTTTTCAGAATATGACATCTTTCTTGCCTTTTTCGTATAAGGTCTTTCCTCAATACTTTCCAGTGGGTGGTTGTGCATTTCAAATAATTTCTTAACTTTGTAATCTGTTGTTCCATAAACATTTTCAAATATAATCTTTGTTGTACACCCAATAATTATCTTGTTTGAATTTGGTTTCCTCTTGACAGAACTTGTAGCCAACGTATCACAAGGTTTTGGTTTATCCTTGCCACCCCTATTGCATATAACATATTTTTCTTTTATTATTTGGCTATTGTATTTTGATTGGCTACTCAGTCTTGTATGAAAACCTGTCATTTCTGCATAATCCGTATACATTTTTACTGCCAAATTTAGTGATTTGAAAACACTGTTTACAACTGGTACAAATTTTGTAGGGACATCTGGTTTATATTCAGATTCTTCAATTATGTTACTGCAATATGATTCATTTGTTGAATTGGAACTTTCACCTGATAAAAGAAGGGAACGACAAATATGTTATTATATAATTTTATGTTGTAATAATCATATGTGATTAACGATATGTATTTATATTTTAGTATAAAAAATCATATATGATTTTAGATATTAATATATTATTAGATGTTAAATCATATGTATTTGTACATTGTATTATATGATTGATCATATAATATACTGTGTAATCATAAATGATTATACGTATTAATTTATAAATAATCATACTTGATATTGTTTAATCATGTATGATTAATCATATGTATTTGTAGTTTGTAATATATGATTAATCATATTTTATGATGTATAATCATATATGATTATTCATCCAAATATAATATTAATATAGATTTCAATTTGAAAACATATATGATAAATCATAATTACAAACTATAAATACATATGATTAATCATAGATATGAACAGTCATATATGATTATTCATCCTTATATGATAAAATCACATATTGTATTGTATAATCATATATGATTTTTCATAATTTATATTGTATAATAAAAGAATCAGAATGAAGTGTAGAAACTGTAATGTAATATGTAGTATTAGAACGAATTAGTTGTACCTTCAATACGAATCGTATTTTGAAGTTCTTCAGAAGTGAAAGAAATTGAATCGATTTGTTCGTCGTTACGAGATGAATTGATTTCAGCTATAATAGTATCAGTTGCGATCGACTTGTCAATTTCTTTTGGATTCGACATCATTTATGAAAATTGATTTTGATTCAATTTTCAAATGCTTTGTTTATGATTGCGAGGTGCTTGTTTCTTCGATTTGAGGATTGTATCTCGTATTTATGAGGATATGAACTGATGATCTGTTTCGATCGTTTTTTTCGATTTGATGATTGCGATTAATTTGATAACAGATTCAGTAAAAATAGGATCTTTTTTATTATATTGAATAATTCTTGAAAATTGGATGATATGATTACGTGACTGATACTCAAAATCGATGATTTAGCGATATGATGATTTTTAGAGAAGGAAGGTGTCCGCTTTCTGAACATTAATTTGAAGTTTACTGTTATACCCCTTAATCATTTAACAGTTGACGTTAAGTTCCATTGGCTGATATTTAATCTCACAATCTCTAATTTTTTATTAATCTCAAGGGAATCATCCCATATATATATATATATATATATATATATATATATATAT